GAGAGGACACACTATGGGAGAGAGGAGACACAAAGTTAGTAATGTGTAATGGTGGCATATAGAAGCATAGGGAGAGAGAGGAGAGGGGAGGAGAGGGGAGGGGAGGAGAGGAGAGGAGAGCAGGAGGGGAGGGGAAAGAAACTCAGAGCATCATGGGGCCCCCCAGCAGCCTAGGCCTATAGCAGCATAACTAAGGGAAGGCTCAGGGTCACCTGATCCAGCCTTAACTATAAGCTTTATCAAAAAGGAACGTCTTAAGTCTAATCTTAAAGGTAGAGAGGGTGTCCACCTCCTGAACTGAGACTGGGTGTTGGTTCCATAGGAGAGGAGCTTGATAGCTAAAGGCTCTGCCTCCCATTCTGCTTCTGTGGACTCTAGGAACCACAAGTAGACCTGCACTCTGAGAGCGAAGTGCTCTGTTAGGATGATAAGGCTCTACGAGGTCTTTAAGATATGATGGAGCCTTGTCATTAAGGGCTTTGTATGTTAGGAGAAGGATTTTAAATTCTATTCTGAATTTTACAGGGAGCCAGTGGAGAGAAGCTAATATGGGAGAGATATGATCTCTCTTGCTATTTCCTGTCAGTACTCTGGCTGCAGCCTTTTGGATTAACTGGAGGCTTTTTAGGGAATTATTGGGATATACTTATAGTAAAGAGTTACAGTAGTCCAGCCTGGAAGTAACAAATGCATGGACCAGTTTTTCAGCATCACTTTGGGACAGGATGCTCCTGATTTTTGCAATATTGCGCAGGTGAAAGAAGGCAGATGTAGAGACTTGGTTTATGTGTGATTTAAAGGACATATTCTGATCAAAGATGACTCACAGGTTCCTCACAGTAGTACTGGAGGCAAGAGCTATGTCATCTAAAGTAACTATATGATTAGACAGCAGATTTCTAAGGTTTTCAGGCCCAAGCACAATAACTTCAGTTTTGTCAGAGTTTAGAAGTAAGAAGTTGCAGGTCATCCAGGCCTTTATGTCTTTAAGACATGAATGTTGTACCTCTGTCCAGGGTGGAGCTGGCCCAGGAAGATAAATGTAACGTGAAAACATAACTCGTGGTGCAGAGAGAACGGATTTCCTGTGGGAGTTCTGTCTCTCTGACCCCAGCGCTGTATGGCTTCACCTGTAACCAGACTTTGAGTAAACTTCCTGTTGATTTTAAATAACCCTCTCCTGTCTTCACTTCTTGCACTTTCAATAAAAGAATTTGGGTAAAATCTAACAACAGTACATGTCAAGTCCCACATTTTACCCATGGCACTCCCATTTCAGTACTTTGCTGGTATCTCACAGCTGTATACTAAAACATCTCACATCCTCCAAAGAAAATAAAAGTGTTGAATGCACTTCCTGGCTTCAGCTCCAGACAAAGCTGCCAGCAGAGGTGGTCATTTACAATGTAGAATAAGCAGTGGTGGAGGAATGTTCATTGTCTACTTTGGCTATGGGTTACACTGGTCTTCACAGGTTGGCAGGGGACAAACAATCCCCTTACCAAGGTAATGAAGGAGACAACTCTATAGCCATGCCATCTGATCTCCTCAGTAGGATAACTGTTTCCCCTGGCATTTTAATATCAGCAACTATTCAGTTTATTTATTAGGTATTTGTTGTAATATATAATGGTTGTATATTATTTTTCTCGAATTGCCCATTTAATTCGCATTAATAATTGTTTTCTTGTACAATCTGTAATTCTGTTTGTGTAATTTATATTGTTAGAAATTAATAAATCAGTCAGATAATTATTAGACATTAATGTGGTGAATCAAATGTATTAGTAATGCAGTTTAGTAAGAATTAAAGCTTGCTCTAGTCTGCTCTGTTTCAAGGTTACAAGACAATGTTGATTCTGAAAAGTGTACCTTGACACCAATTGTTTCCTTGTATTAATCTTGTTAGAATTATGTCTGAATGTATGTTTTAGTTACGCACCACGTAACAACACACACACACATGGAATTCTTCATTTTGTTATGTCCAGCTGCTCCAAGCCTGTGGAGCTCTAGATAAGAGAAGGAGACACCGGACTGTATCCAACTCACAATGTTTTTATATCTTTTTGTGTAGCCCAAAATCTTATAAATGTATTAGGCTCTGTGTCTCAGGAGACTCCTTTCTTCCAGCAGTTGTCTGGAGCAGGGAGCTACCCGAGTTGTGTTTCTGTAACTTTTATTCATGGCTTTAAAAATAAATTAGCACTAAAATGAAGAAAGACGGACTCCTTCCTTATTCAGATCTGTCCAATAAAAGAACTGGGGTATAACAACTTGGTGCCATGACCTTCAGAATTGGCTGAATTCTGAGCTCGATTCCATGTCGGGAGTGAATGGACTCACTGATCAACATTTGCCGGCAATAATAACAGGTGAGCAGGAGCCTTCTGTACAGAATTCCTGCATATTGGACTTTACAAAATTTTGTTGATCTGTGTGGACTGTAAATTCCCAATCTAAAAATTGAATGATTACAGTAAGGGTAAGATAACACTTTTATTTTGAAATGTGCTGGTCTTGTTTTTGCCACATGTAAGGTTGCAAGCACATATTTTCATGTGAGGGATAGAACAATAAGTGCCCTAGTTACAAAAATTGATGACTATCAGAGATGTAAAATCCATGTTAATAAGTGGATAACCACAAATGTTGATGATTAATGAGGGCACTAGGGAAATATTTTTTATTTTCTTTGATCCTTGTGTGGGTGGTTTTCTGCACGAAGGCTGTTGAACACTGTCACATGTGTATCCCATAGCAACAAGTGCTACTGGGAGAATTCGGTGTGAAACAGTGTGCCTCGGGCAGAGGTGTCTTTGGTTCCGAGGGCTGGGTATAGCCTATGGGGAAACTATTATAAAATTTAAGGTGACGGCGTATTCAGTGGAATTAAAGCTGTTGACTGGGAGAACCCCCAGTGGTCACGCGCATCAGAAGCTAGTTCTGATGTAGAAGCTTCGTGACCAGGTCACGGTTCTGGGCAACGAACCATTCTAGCTGAAACGCCAGTCACGTGTGCATAATT